GTAGTAGTAGTAGTAGTAGTAGTAGTAGTAGTAGTAGTAGTAGTAGTAGTAGTTAGTAAGTAGTAGTTAGTAAGTAGTAGTTAGTAAGTAGTAGTTAGTAAGTAGTAAGTAGTAACAATAGCAATATAGTAATAGTAATTAGTAATAGTAATATAGTAATAGTAATAGTGGTAGTAATAGTAATAGTAAATAATAATAATAATAATAATAATAATAACAATGATAATAATAGTAATGATAATAATAACAATAATAATAATAAAATAATAATGATAACAATAATAATAATATTAATGGTAATAATAATAATAATAATTAATAAATGATAATAATAATAATAGTAATGAATGATAATAATAGTAATAATAACAATAATGATAATAATAACAATAGCAATAATAACAATAACAATAATAACAATAACAATAGTAATAATAAATAATAATAATAATAAATAGTAATTAATGTAATTACCAGCATTCTCTGTTCCTTTCTTCCGTTGGATATTTTCGGTTTTTTCGTCATCGCGTATTCTCGTAATTCATTCATTTGAAAGGTATAGCAATGAAATGTTTAAGCGAATCGTCCGCCTTCAATTTGGATTTGCTCGTGAATTCTTCAGCTCGCTTTCACAGTGTTTCTCGTTTCAGGCAGTTTAACGGTTAATTCAGCTTCACTCATGCTTTGTTTGCTCCATGTCGATCGACGGCAAGAGTTGAAATTTCAAATTGTCCCAAATTGTTATTTCGCACTTCTGCACTTTTTCAGTTAATCCAGTTAATCGCTCATCATCAAATACCTCATCCTGACCTTCGAAACGTCCAGTTTCGTTTTTTTTATTAGATTTCTTGTTTCGCCGCTTTTACGAATTCCACTTTTCATATAGCTCTCATTATCTTGCATCCCCTTTCCGCAGAAGAGTATACGTCCGATTAGCGCTGTGTCTTGTGGTACCTTTACCGTAACTACTGATGACATGTATTGTTGCACAGCTCCGCCCCTGTCGTTTCAAATAACATGCACAGCATCAACTCTAGAACTCAATAGCCTGTAAGAAGTCACAAAATGTCTTGGATGTCGATATTAAGAGTCCTTTTGAGCGAATACTACGTCCACCACTAGCATACGGTTCCTGTTCATTTCTTGGTTAATCAATTGATAAATTCCCAGATTCGTTGTTGGCTGGAATATCGATGGTCTTAATGATTTCGTGTTTCTTTTTTTTTTTCTCAATTAGTTAAGATGATTTTTAGTGAAGGATTTAAATTTATATACCATCGAACAATATTCGATATTGGCCTTTGAGTTCTAATTTTTAACGACCGGCCATCTATGCTCGATCATCATTAATCGATTGATGGACATTAGCTTAGATAAGCTGATTTATTTACTGTGAACATTAGCTTAGATAAGCTGATTCATTTATTGTATTTGTCTCAGAAGGAGTGGCTGGTGACGAATAAAAGGTTAAGAAAACTTTTCTTTTTTCATTCCTAAGATTTTTGTGAATACGTTTTTTTCAGAGAATCGTAAAAATCCGATGCCGGCCGGAAAGGAACAGGGCAAGCGCGATAATTATAAGAAGCCTCCGAACAAGGTGTTTTTGTTAAACAGACTGTTTCAAATGCTAAAATATAAATGTTTTAATCTTAGTTAAATCTTAGGGACTGAGTTACAATTCCGTTCAGTGGATGACACCAATATGGTGCTTTCTGCATTTGTAGGGATTTTCAACTGCTTCATGGGAGGATCGTTTATCGCACAGTGAAGAGGATGACGATGGCGATATCACCGATCCGGAATTGATTGCTGAAAAGGAGTATGCTTTGGAACATGGTTCGGAATTCGACATGAATTTTGTTGGCGGGGGGGATGTTGCAATGGCGATTGGCGGTGGGGCAGAACGTAAGTACCTAGTTTTAATTATTAGCAGCACTGATATGTTCAAAGTATTGAATTTGCTTTGAAAGATTGTGGCGTGTGCTTTGCACTGAAAAATGAGTTTGAAGAAATTGATGTGTTGGGAATTACATATCAGAAGCCTTTTTGATCTGGGTCGTGTAACTCAAGAAAAAATATCATGGTTGGCATTAGTTAACTAGCTGTTCAATAGTTATTCTCAATTATTAATTACAAATCTGATTTATATGAAGAAGCTGCAACTAATATGCTATTTTAATATTTATTTCGTTTTTAGATAGATCTGTCGATAAGACGAAGAAAGATGCGCTGATTTCTGCCAAAATTAAGCAGGCAAAAGCGGATCGCAAAGCGCGTGGAAGAGGCGTTTCTGGAAGCATGTGTAAAAAGGATAAGGATATTTCGTATGGTAATTACGTTTTTGTATTTCAATCTGTCTTAAAATTATTTTTTAAAATTTCTTGGAGCCCTTTTGCATTATTTCTCTTGTTCTCACGTAATACCAAAAATAATGTTGCGCGGAATTAGCGATTCAGAATTCTCAAACATTTTTATATTAAAATATTGACGTTTCATCTTTAATTTCATAACAGTTTCAGGCGGTTTCCATACGCTCATGGATATGGACGTGTACTATGGGTTGGATAATGAATACGGCACTTATATGTCAGATACCGAGGAGCCTTTCGATGACGACGACGGCTATGAGGGCGCGGCTGGCCAAAGTATTCATTCTTAAATCTTGTCGTTATGTTGGTATGCGTAATAGTTTTCTGGATCTGGGTGAAGTCGGGAAATTCAAACCTTATTGTATTCTGATATTATATTCTATATATATTATAACCTTATTATATTCTGGGTGAATTCAAACCTTATTATATTCTTTGTTTCCAGAAAAGGAGGAGGTAGACCATTCGGAAGTTAATCTCATCGATGAGGGCGTAAACCAACTATCTTTGAATGATGCCGATGAGAAGGAGGTGACACATATTTTGTTTAACAGTCTTACTAAATCAACCATTGATAGTTCTGTTAATCGTTTTAACCCATTTTTGCAATCAAGGACTAAAATTTTTATCCTGCTAACTGCAGAATTCCTATAACTACAGAGATTTAGTGAGTAGTAAGATGATTAAACTCTCCGTGAAAGAAGGAGAAACATTCACTCTTCATGTTATATTTTAATTACTAACATTAACTTTTTTAAAGTGATGGATAATGAAGTTATTTGTGCTTCTGATTTCAGGATGATGATCGTCCAGGACCGAGTCGATCGTCCCATGGAACAGGCGATGATGGAAAACCGAAGCGCCTCTACCGCATGTAAATCTGTTGGTACTGAAGCCACAGATGCCTATAATTGGTTATTAACACTACTCGTTTTCTTTTGTTGTTTTTGTCGGGTCTTAACTGTGCTAATTTTATATCTGTGCTTTAATAGATCTGTGTATATTTGGTTTCAGTGATGTTTTCAGGAGTATTTGTCATTGTTATTGAGTTGAATTCATTCCAGTTACATATAAATTGCGTTTTAACAAATGGTTATTCTTTGTTCTCGAATGCACTTAAATTCACACACTGTTCGGGACTTGCTTCGTATTTCGTTCCGATGCATATTTTCTGGACCTCACTAAACCGCATACCATGGGCAAGTGGGATGTGGAATTATCCATAATAGTTCGTCTTCCAGAGTTCAAACATCACCTGCAAACATTTGCTCTCGTTCTCAGTTTGTAAGACGGAGTCAACGGCGTGTGCAATGCAAACGGGTCACTAATGTCCTCCAGTAACTTTGACAATACCATCGGAAGGTGTATGATTGGTATGCTGGGTGGAATTCAACTATGGGATGCTATCATCCCATTGTCCCCATCTCTTCCTCTCTTCCGTGTATTCAATATTTCCAGCTCTTTAATCTGCTCATGATAGATGTACATCAACTATGGGGCTGAGTGGGATTCAATTGTGGGACATCGGTTTTCGTATTCGGGTCGTTGAATTTAACGGGACTACTGTGTCTTATCGCAACATGCAACAGTCTGGTATCTTAGCCTAAAATGGTTTTTGGGAAAGTGAGAGGGTTTGGTGACTGGGTTGGCAGCGTCACTAGGTTGAGGAGAGGAGGGGAAGGGGGAAGGATTGGCTAGCTTGCTTGCTTACTGTCTTTGTGATTTTACTACCAACTCAAACGGGCGGGAAGGGTTTCTTTTGGAGACGAAACACTTCCTTATACACTATATCAATTACGGGATTGAATTGTGCGTTGCCTTATGGCGCTGTGTATCATACAGTCAAGTTTATTATTTCTTTGACTTATGAACAATCTTATCGTCACTGTTTATAGTCTTGTTGATTTTTTTATTCGAGAACTGCTTCTGAGATCTGTAATAACGATGTCAACGTTAATTGTAGGATCTGGATACCTCTGGAAGGGGAAGTTCTTTCGTGAACCTCAACACCTTTCTTCGAAAATTTAAAGATTCTCCGTGTTACAGGCATTTTAAGTGGCCTAAGGTTTTTTCGGGATAAGAATTTCCTTGCAAAGGTTCCACATCTTTTCCGAAGCAAGAATATTCTTAGAGCTATGGTATCCCCATTTTTTGAAAAAGGTTAGTATGCTGTTAGATGCAGAAACGTTGATGTGTATATTTATTGTGCAGGTGACAGCAAAAAATGGCTGGTGAATTCAGCAAACGTGGAGGTGGTGTCCAGAAAAACTTCAATTCGCCTCGAGGTGGTTCTGCGTCGCGTAGAGGAAATCGCAATAGATTTTCCCCGCGTGGAGGTAGACGTGGTGGAATATCACCAAAAGGAGGTGGCGATCATGGTGATTTGTCGAATCGCGTTCGTGGTTCTGGAAAAGGTAGAGCTTCTATACTGTCTTTTTTGCTACAGCGAAAATTTAAGGCCTGCCTGCTTTCTGTCCTCCGCTTGAATTTCATGATGTTGGTTGCAGTATAGAAGCGCTTCTTAATATAAAAAAAGTAAAAGAAAACAAGACGTAGGGATAACTCATACTATTATTGATAGCAGCTTTTTTATTGTGCAGCTTTTCTTCTAGGTGGAGGTCGTGGTGGAAGGGGCAGTTGGGGTGATCGTGGAAGAGGTGGACGTAGTAGAAATGGTCAAGGACGAAAAGAGTTTTCTGGGAATAATAGAGGTGGTATGGATTTCAAAAAGCGAATGAGCATTGATAACGACAGCAGATTTGGTAAAAATAAGTTTAAAGCTTAATAAAACCGTGCTTCTTTGTACTTGGGAAACGAAGCAATCGCAGTGAATTATTTGGGCAAAAGTAATGATATTAACTGTGAAATCTCGTCAGGGTATAAAAAGTACTCTTTTGTAGATATTATAATAAGACGGTGGGTATAAATTAAAAGTACTCTTTTATAGACATTGTAATAAAACGATGGATTTATTAACTAATTTGCTCCTTTCATGTTTCATAAGCTTTCGATTTCAATTCATACACTGGTTTAAGAACAAAAATCAGCCGAAGGGAAGAAGAACGAAAACAAATATAAAAAGTCAATGTCGGAACCATCAACTCCAGCAACAATGAAATTTAAGAAATACGAAATGGACGCTGAACGTGACGAAGATGAGGTTATCCACTTTTTCTCCATTTAATCCTCACTTCCAGATTTTCGTAACGAATGCACATCAGCTGATTTGTCGAATGTGTTTATCTCTGCAGACTACTGTGATATGTAGAAAACTATTAGATTTTGCTTGGTGATGGACGTTTTTCTTTTTAGGAAATGAGCATCTCAGACATGGAGGATGATAAAATAAGTAAGTTTTGTTTTTTGTATTCATCAGTTACAGAGTTAAAACTTATGTTCAACACATTTTAAAAATCCAAACATTTCCTTACTTTAAGCGAAATTTTCATTCAGCTTCGGAAACACCTAAAAAAATCGCTGCCGATATGACACCGAAACAAAAGAAGAAAATACTCACGCAAAAAAATGGCTCAAAATTCGGACAGGTAATGAATGCCAAAGATCTGGCAAAAAAGGTAATTTTTTATTTTTTAAGGGTTTCCAAGAACAAAACATTGCATCTTTTTTCTCGTTTTAGGTTACGCAGAGTTTATAAAATATGATTACTCCTGTAGTTTAAATAATGCGCAGATTTTTTCGCTGTGACTATGCAAATATGCTGTTTTTGCAGGGTACGCTTAAACGAGAAAAAGATGTGGAAGGAGATGAAGGTAAAGTATCTTTTAACTATATTCTCGCAAAGCTCACCGACTTTTCAGGAGAATATACCTAACAAGTAGTTATTTGCAAATGTAAAATTTCTAAGTATCTAAGTAGCTGTTGAACTGTTTTTAAATAAAGCTAGTCGATTATAGAGAAAATTTCTCTCTGAATAATGGGTTCACTATTATCGATGATTGGCTTACGAATCGAAATTTTCGTTTACCGGCGTAAGCATGTGACTAATTCATGGTCATTAGAAAATAGCTTCTACGTCTATCTGTTTTAGGAGGACAGAGATATTATTAATAAATGCTTGATAGTTTTAGAACTTGTAACAAGTCGGAAGGTTAAGAAGGCCAAAATGATCAAAGTTGAAAGCGAGGAGGACGATGGAGTAAGAATGTTTTTTCGTTTTTTTTTTTTTTTTCATATATGTATATATATCCTAAGATGTACATACACATATAAAAAAATATATGTATATGTCTCCTGATGTTCTCTCTCGAAATTATCTGTAAGTGCTTATTTCTGCAGGAAGAAAGTGATGATGATGAAGATGAGGATGAGAGCAGTGACGAAGGTATTTTATGAACTCTACAATTTTAGTTCACTTTTGCTTGGCTGTAATTAATTCTCACATTAAACATGGCTGCTCATGTTCATGACAAATCGTTTCCAAATGCAACAAAGGGAGAAACAAGAGCCAGTTTTAGCCAGTTTTATTGACTTCTCCTTATCGACGATGATGCACAAACTTCACTTTTATTCGAAAACACATGTGATAACAAAAACTGAGTCGATACCCATTTCCAGTGGTAATAACATCGACAGCTAGTAATTATTATTTTAAATTTAAGTACGAAATACACTGACCTACAGCAAGAGCAAAATTTTTGCGACACGATGACTAGAGAAATGGATTAATTTTTAGGTTCAGAAGAAAAAGGTGTTAAGAAGAACATGAATGGTGCTGCTGAAATGAGTGAATCAGACGAGGATGAAGATGAAGATGAAGAAAGTTTGGAAGATGAAGATGAGGAGGAAGCACCTTCTGAAGGTATTTTTTTTTCTAGTGGTAACTATTGTACTTTATTAACCTTCCAGATGAGTGTGTTTTTAATATTGTATTGTCATGTATAGAGCAAATTAAATCAGGTAATTTTTTTCCAGTAAAACCAAAACTTGTTTCTACTCCTGGCAATGTAGTGCCTTTAAAGAGCGCACTTAAAACTCCTGGTACTGGGAAATCAAGCAAGAAAGTTTCACTTTCAGCCACAACCACAACTACTCCAGACATGTTATTAAAGGTTTATCTTTAGTTTGATTTCGTTATTTGATCTGTTATGTTATTTGTCAGTAATGTTCGCTTAGTACATTGTATATAGTGTATAATGTGTGTATAATATATAGCTTAGTATACATTGCAATCATTTATCGGAAGTGAAACGTATTTTTTAGCGTAATAAAATTTTAGAATAAAACGCCGGTCACACCTCATCCCCAAACAGTGTCGAGCAAAAAGAAGACGAAAAAACTGAAATTTGAAGAATCTGATGAAAGCGATGAGGATGAAGAGAATGATGATGAAGAGGCGGGAGAGAGATTTGAGTTGGATGATAGGAGAATGAAGATGGTGAAGAATGACGATTCAGAGGACGAAGATGAAGAAATGACGGATGACGATGAAGATGAAAGTGATGAAGACAAAGAGGCAGCTAATGCAAAGAGGGCGATGATAGATATCAAGGTGGGATTTGTAAAAGTAATGCAAAACTGTTATTTGTGATTTGAAATTTGTCAAAAACAGAACAGTTAGGAACCAGTATTTCTTCCGTTTAACTGGATTGTTAATTTAGTAAATCTGAGGAGACTTCATTTGAGGAAATGAGTTCAGCGAGCTATTGTAAACATCTCTCATTACATTCATAGTGCATGTCATCAATAAAATTTCGAATTTCAGACAAAGCGAGGAGTCATCGAAGGGATCCAAAACAAGAAGGATAATATCAATTTGAAAGAGCTTCATAATAAAAACGACAAAGGAACTGAGGAGAAAAAGGTAGTTTCTAATGCTCTTGTTGTGGTCGATATCGTCTCCCACTAATTTTGATGTAAACCTCTTATCCTAAAACCTTCAGATAAACTGAAGAGATACTTACTCTTCGGTCATAATTCGAGTCTTTCTACGAAATAATTTTTATTCGTGAACGACATACAGAATTATTGTTAGAGAATCAATAATCCTGTTAGATTTTGACGTCTTCAGATTGTGTTGTAGAGGCCTAGTAATCAGAAACTGCCATTCTTTTTAAAACATTTTAAGGTTTTTTACTGAACTTTTTTAAGATCGTAAAAAATGAAACATCATTGATCGGTAGGCATATCTAGCAATTCGAAAAAATGTTTGCTAGCAAAACGAGCGTACAAATTAGTTACTCGTAAATGGACCATTAGTAAACCATCATGGAGCGGATGCGGAACCTATGTCTTTAACCAAAATATACTTGTATTTATTCAGTTGCCTTCGCTGGAACAGGCGAATGCGATAGCTAATAAGGATGAAACGAAAGGAGTGAAGAGGAAATGTGAAGATGGACCAGTGCTAAAGGTACGAATTTTATTAGTATATTCGTTGCATGAAATTGAGGGATTCTGGCTTTTTGAACTGGACTCGGTACAAATGAATCTGTTTAGCTGGAGGATGCAAAAGACGTGATCAAAGAGGAACAGAAACGGCGTGAAGAGCGCGACAAGAAATCATTATTTGTGCGAGGATTACCCAAAGATGTAAAATTGGGGCAGTTAAAGGCCCTTCATAATGATATCCTCTATGTGCGTCATATGCCGCATCGCAAGTAAGCATTCATTAGTTTCAAATAATATGCTATTTAAAGATTTCCATGTGTTTTTTACAACTGGTGCATTTTAAGAAAATTTTTATGAGGCATTCATTATATGACTCTATTAATTATCAAGAATATGTACTTTAAAAAAAGGGAAAAATTCAGCTTTGCATGGTTAATATTCGCAAGCGAAAAACTTTGTGAGAAGGCCTACGAGGACATATCAAAACAAACTGTCGAAGGCCGAACATTAAGTGTCGATTTTTGTGGAGCAAAGGCAAAAACGCGCCCTCAAAAGGATAGAAGTCAGTTGCCCATCAATCCCCTAGAGTTGTTTGTTGGCGGCTTACCACCGTCAACATCCAAAGATCAAATGAAAGTTATCTTCCGACAGGCAACCAATATCACCTTCCCAAAGCAAGCTAGAAATAAGAACAAACTGTAAGTCAATCAATTCTATAATCTTTCATTTATATTTAGAATTTGAAGAATATTTTTCTACAAAATATTTTTGATTTGTCGTGTTTTTATCCGTAACTAAAAAAAACTTGTTCTAAAAAGAAATGTATCTGCTATATGTTGATTCTTTCACTTTTTTTCCCATCCGATTTGATGGTTGCGTATTAATGGGAAGATTTATTTTGCATATGAAATTTCCAGATATTGTTTCGTACAATTCGGTAATGAAAAGGAAGCGAGAGCAGCATTCGAAAAAGGAAAGACGTTAAAGATTAGCGGTGCACCGGTTGACGTCCTGTATGCTCGGATACGCAAAGGTAATGGTTATTATGTGTTGCTTGGAATTTTTTTCATGTTTTTTCCACCTACAGAAGTGTTGAAGACGATAACTGAGTGACTTTCTCATAATCAAATTCTAGGGATAACAAATGAGATAAAGCTACCGAAATCGAACAAGGTTCCCAATTTGTCGAATGGCATGACAACAAAGTCGGATATAAAGAATTCATCAAAAATAAATGAAGTAAATGGCGATACGACCAGCGAAGGAATTGAGTCCTCGGAAGAAGGAATTGAGGAAGTGGTTTGTTTTGTTTGCTTTTCCAGCATATTCAGTATTGCTCAGCTTGTTCTTTTTTTTTCATATATTAATGTGCTAAGGCACTTCCGTCAGATTTAAACAAATTGCAGCATAACACAGTATTTATCTTGTGAATAGTAATGTTTTGGTCAGTTTTTCTGGATTTCAGGACGACTGTTCAGTTTCAAAGCCCAAGAAAGCAAAGCTGGCTAAAGCAAACAGTCCTAAAATTGTGCATAAAACTGAATCATTGAAGCAAAAAAATACTGAAACGAAGGTTAGTTTATATCCTTCTCACACTTTTATGACCATTGTATAACTTTGGGAAAGCACATTCTGATTTTTGATGAAAAGCAATCTGTAAATATGCATTAAGGGTTTTCAAATGAATTTTTTTAACTTCATCAATGGCTTGTTTATTCTTCCCTATTTAGTTGTGCGAGAATTAAAGTTTAGAGGAGCCGATCTTGGATAAGCTAAGGTATTTATCATTTTTAACCATTTGAAATCCGTATTTTTAGTGTGCAGCAGTATCTAAAAAATCGAAGTTGAAAGGTATCAGTGGAAAAATATTGTCTGGACAAGGCAAAACTAATTTAGAGAGCGACAAGCTGACTACCGATAAAGACGAGAAGGATAAAAATACTGATGGTGATGATGACGATGAAGATGATGATAATGACAGTGATAATGTTGATGTTGATAATGACAACGATGATGATGAGGAGGAGGATGAGGATGAGGATGAAGATGAAGATGAGGATGATGACGATGAAGAAGATGATGAGGAAGATGAGGAAGTCGATGGAAATATGGAAGATAGTGACGAAAGCGACTAAGTGGCAGCATTCGTAACCATGAGAGTGAAATATGAAAGTACTACTCTCTAATATATTTGGTTTGTCAGAATTTCAGTTTAGTGAAAAAAAACGATATGGGATTGATTGAGTACTGCAATGATAGAATGCGTTTTTAAAACTAGATGAAATAAAGGTCACTTCATTTTAGCTCCCTAGAATTTTGATGTAATCGGTTTTGATTTTGGTATGTAATATATAGTTAGAAAAGGGGGAAGATTTTTCTATGGATTTTGTTCCAATGAGATTTGATCATATCCTTTGCTCGCTTTGTCGCTCCATCTTACATCATCCTTAAATCAACTGTTGAGTAATTGCTGATTGTTTCAAGAACGTTGTTTTTCATTTATATTACGTGATAATTTGTCATATTTTTGTTGCTGCATGTTGAAGATAGATTTTGATATTCTGTTGATGTTGAGCTCCTGTTCCTCTTGTTACGACAAAATAAGGGATTTTTCATTTGTTGATGACGGATTCTAGATGGAATTCAGATGGGCTGCCAGATATTTCGGGATTTTACCTTTATTAATAATGTTGAGTGTTTCATGAGCCCATTTCCGAGTTTTATGGAATTGCGAGGTTTTAAGTAGAAAAAGAGAAGAAATTGATACGGATTTCATAACTAGTACTTTGGTATCTTTGAAATTTTTAGAGTCACCTGTGAGGGTTCGTCGTTTCCACTTCCAATCTCAGAGGTAAACTTCTTTTACGTGGGTGTAGTCGTATGAATACTTAACCAGCGAAGTACTAGTGCGGTATGGAGCCAGTTTTTTCTCATTTTGAAGGGCTTGTGTCACACATACACATGTATTGGGGTAAGTGGCATTGGCTGTGATACAACACTTCAAAACGGTAGCGCAGTGCAGCAAGATATTAACCAGCCTTGGCTTGGGGACTCTAACTCTTATAAAGCATGAAGGACTACAAGATTTTGTTTCGAAGAAGTTGCGAACCGGGGAGCAATTTCGAGGTTTCGGGTAATAGGATACAGATGGTAATTAAAAGTTTCAGGTGATTCCATTTCCATTTGTCGCGTGGTAGGCAAGAGGAGTTGGTGTCAATGTGCTTATTTTCATTTGTTGGTTTTCCCCGTTTCGCATCGGAGATTTTCGCAATCTATACCATACTACTGTTACATATGTAGCGGTTTGTGCTTGAATAAGCCTGATTCCTCGTATTTTCAGAATAGAAATAATGGGCATGGTTCCAGTTTCGCACCCTGATTCCAATTATTTCCAGACTTGAAGTTAGTTACGACTTCCCATATATTCTTCCGGCTATCCATTAGTTACGCACCTAAATTTGGTTCATATATGCATTTAGATTGTTATGTATGGCCATTTTGTTGCTTTTTCCAGTTTTTTTCACATACAGCACTCCTTTAACAAACCCTCTTGTGCTTGTACGATTTTTGTACTTGTACTTTGGAAGCTTTAGAAAAATATGAGTCTAGTGGGTATTCATATATTAATATACTTCACACATGAGAACATTTGTGGATAAAAATGATTATCCCAATTGATCGAATGGATGAGTTAATATATAATTAGCTTCATTAGATCGTTGCTGGAATCATTCCTGCTTCCGATACATTTCTGATGAATATGTGGTGGGGATTGATTGGTGTCCTTGGTACGACGCGGTGCAGTGGCCTCATCAATGAAATCATCGATTCGTATCATCGATAAGGGCTTTTACCGAATGCAGTGGGAGACATGGGGTATTTAACATGCATGGCCATAATGTTCGTCGTATTACCGTAATGTTCATCATTTCTTGGAAAGTTGTCACCAACCCGCTGATGCGATGCTTCTCTTTCATGCATCGTGTTGGTGACTTTGTATTTTTTATTCAGGTGTCGACCATTTTCTGCATTAGAATTTCATCTCCAATGTAACAGAATTCTTACATTTCTAGGAAATTTCGATGATATCTTGCATCACTCACCTTCATTTTGTTGGAACATTTCATCTCCTTCTGCTTATTCCGTCCACCATTGATGAATCAAATTGAATTTATTTTTTCAATATTACTAATGTTTCAGTTGTTACCAAATGCAAGCCAGAGATTGCAAGTGTCATCGCTTGGCAATTAGCCTTAACGAAACTTTGAACAGCAAAAATTTTGAAGCAAACTTTCGAAGAGCTGTTCAGTCGCTAACCGCTGTAGGTAATTACTCTGATTAATTATCCATTTCATATTCTCCTTTTCACTTCGAATTATCTGCACTGAACGAATGGTAACACTGAAATCAAACGTTGTAGCATGAAACAAAATAAGTCATTGTGATAGCAAAGTACCCATAATGATTCGTCTTTCTCTCTCAGATAAGGAATATCGCTCAAACAAAAAGCCTTAATAAAAACGCAATGATAGATAGGAATTTCCAGTTTGTTTGAACAATCAAACCTTCTGAAATTACAGGAAGAATGTGCCAGGGCTGCGAGATTTCGTTATAAAGATGATACACTTGCCTCCATATTGGGACGTCTTTTTCTTCGTCAGGTTATTTCAAAATCTGTATTTTTAGCCATTTTATTTCGGATTTAGCAGTTTTAAATCATTCCTCAGCTTTCTTTATTGTCACAATTGTATATAGCTAAACATATATAGGAAATTATATATATATATAAACCTTCAACTTAGTTTCTGAATAATATTGTATAGGCTACAAGACGCTTTTCAAACGTGGAATGGAATACGATTGAATTTGGGCGAACAGAAAAAGGAAAGCCATATCTGCTGAGTCCAAGTAATACAAAATATGGTTTCAATGTATCACATCAGGGAGATTATGTAGCATTCGCAAGTAGTTGTTCATTGAGGGTAAGTAGTGCTTAAGGCTTCTTTGTTCTATTGGGGGGAATCGCTTCATTTATTGTTGAGTGCATCTAAAAGACATATTTTCATTTATTCCATCAATGCAAACTCTTTGATTGTTTTATTCATTGTATGCTTTTGAGAAACGTGATGGTTTACATATTTACTAACATAAATTCAGATTTTTTTTTTCTCGTCATGCGAAAAACATGTCCTAAGCCGCGTTTATTTCAGCATAATGGATGAGAACAACTTTCAGGTTGGTGTAGATTGCATGCGATTGGATAAAGAAAGAAATAATAAATCAGCTGATGATTATATCACATCAATGGCAAAATCAGCTGGTCCGGAAGAATTGAGGATGATGAGAACTCAACCAACCGATCAAATGAAAATGATTTATTTCTATCGATACTGGTGCTTAAAAGAAGCAGTCCTTAAAGTAAGTTTATCTCAAGATTGGTGTATTAAGTGATAAAATACCACAGTCGAACTGTTCATTTGAAAATTTCCAGAAGTTCCTAAGATTATTGGAAGTTTTGTAGGGCTCCTTCGAATATGAAAGAATCTCCTAAATTCGTATAATTTCCTGGAATTCTGTAAATCTCCCGAGATTTCCGAGGACATCTACAAACCCGTAGGAGTTTCCATAATTCTTTCAACATCTCAACTTTTCTGCAACTCTATTGCATTTTAATCTATTGAGAAATGTTTTGCGTATTTTCGCATTCCAACAAACTCTTTCCTTTTTTAAGGCAACCGGAGAGGGTTTACTGTCAGACTTAAGTCGATTGAATCTTCATATTGAACCAAGGGAACGGTATCGACCGAGATGTTTCATTACATCAACTACTGTGTCATTGGATGGCAAATTTCAAGACGAATGGATCTTGGAAGAAACATTTATTGATGAAATGCACAATGCTGCGGTAGTTTTTTCTTTCTTTTTTTTTTTTTTATTGAATTTGCAACATAAATCATAAAGAAGAAAATTACAGCTAGACTTCCCACTTCTAATGAATAAGATCACAGCACATTCTACATTCACGTACTTATCCAACTGCTATATTGCTTGAGAAATATTTTTTAAAGACATTTAAATGCAGTCTAGTTGTAGGTCTGTCGTGAAAAACGATTGCCAAACCATTGCATGTATTCGCTAAATCCTGATACACGAATATACTTTGGTTTTGTCGATATCAGTTTCTTACTCGAAGGTGCTGCTATTCTAAATCCTCTGCCTGAGGACGGCGCTGCTGAATGGGTAAATTTCAACGCCAAACCAAGGAAGCTCTTTTAAATGGTGGCAGAGAGAAATCATTATGAAACCAAACTTCCTTATTCTGCTACGTTTTATCTTGCAATTTGTAAGCAACCCTTTTTTTTTTCAAGTTCTTTCTGGATGGCATTTGTGCTCTACCCTCCTATAGATACATAAATTCAGCTATAAACTTCTCCCAGATTTACGAACATATCGCGTGACTATGGTGCTTTCAGTTCAGTTTCTTAGTACACCTATTTAAATTCATCATTTTCCCACTTTATACAATCAGTGCTTAGAGATACCGTTATAAAACGGTATTAACTAGACCACTGTGATTCTCATGTTGTATCCTATAGTATGGCCATCTCAGCAGCTGCTCATCTCTTAAATAGTTTGTTTGCTAGATAAAGAATAAACATTTCTAATGCTGTTAAGTATCTTACAGGATCAGTGGAGTGGGAGTAGCGTAACATGAGCGCACTATCATATGCAAATTTCTTGAAAATAGTAATTATATGTAAAACTGTATGGGTGAGCAAACTTATGATCCAGGCAGGAATCAACCGTAGCAGTATCTCCTCATAAAACTCAATATGCAGGCATGGTGTCAAATATTTATGCTCCAGAAGAAGTGAACCGTATCAATTCATATTGCTCTATATTATAGCACAACCCCCAGCACAGTAAGAGCAGTGGAGAATTTGAAAGTAGAAATCACTGAGATTTCCGAATATCTGGCCACGGTTCACCCTCAAATTAGTAACAAATTAAACAAATCACCACATCAGTTCAACAAAACGAAAGGGATAGTGGAAAAAATTGCAACACAGAAATATAGTAGATTACTAAAACGTGTGGCAATACAACATAACTTTGTTGTATTGTTTATACCTGTAAAGTTAGAATGATTGGTTTGACTCCTTCCAGCACTCATTCACCTTTTGGGGTTATGTTTCTTTTTGTCGTTTCGATATTCCCTTATAGGTCATTTTTATAAATATACTAAACTAAAAGCCTTACCAGGTATTACGAAGTGGACAAGGCAGAATCCAGCAGGAGGGCACAATGAAGGCGTGCTGGCCGAATGTAATACGCACATACGCCGTCAATGTTTGTTTGCAACCATTTACTTCTGCTGAGGCATGTTTCATGAGTGCTATTTTATGAAAGATTTGAAGATTTAGAACGAACATTTCCTATCAAGTACAGTATATATAATCTTAAAAAGCACACAAAAAGGCCTGAATCGGATAACAAACGCAACCGATGACAGAAAAATCATTGCAAAAGAGGTGAAAAGAAACATGCCTCAGAAATCTCACAAAGTTCACAACAATAATAATGGGAAATATATTATTCAATGCACACGTTATTGGAGTAATGCGAGACTACTTTTCGAGGACTCCAATTCTAGATGACTAAGAACCTATCCAGAAAAATTACATGGGAGCTAAGGAAGAGTAACCGCGACCCAGAAAACATTTACATGGAGATATTTGTGTCATACTGTGGCATGAACAAGTGGAACGAACAAGCCGAATCAGACTTCAGACGACACAGAACCCTTTAACCCTTTATGCGACTGAACCGTTCTTTTCAGCTTTTTGTTTTAAATATGCTTTATATTGTGGACTTTCCTTGAAAATTCGTATTTTCCGCGCTATTCCCTTGGCTGAGTCACGGAAAACATTACCTTGATCTTTTGCCATCGCCTGAAAACAACTGGTGGAACACTGCGCATCACTCAGTGTAGGTCAAGCAAGCCACCCGGCAAGCAATTAATTTCGACAAAAAATAACTGCAAACTGACAGATGTGCAAAAACATGAACTAAAGTTGGAAGGTAATTGAGAGAAAAATCACCTCATAGTCTTCTCCATGCTTCTCAATCATGTTTACACAAAACTGGATGTCACGAGGCAGAAGTTTGCAGACATGTTCGCGAACTGGCGGGATACGACTTACATAATTCATTTGTGATACCAGAACGACTGGTTCCTTCTTTTCAACGTTCACATCATATTTTGCTTCCTTTGCACAAGATGTTACAATCGTATTCTATAATTTTAATGAAAAGAATTGGGGAGACTTGAATAGTCTCGATCTTAAAGATGCCCGTTAGGTAATCGGTACCTTAACAAATATGACACAACTACACACAGGATTTTCGGTAGTATTTAATACAGAAAGGAAAAACCCCAATCATGAATCGTAATCAACTGAATCCAGAAAACACCAAAAATGTTTACGATTAAGGTTACAAAAATGCAGAGATCGAATAATGTGATGCGATGTTCAAGTAAAAACTTCAAGCATGTTTCAGTTGTGAAACATGTCTGATCTTTAATAAGGAACATTGGTATTTCTTATTCGGTCTGTGAAATGACTAACAATAACAACTTTTTGCAAACCTCATTTAATCTTTTATTCTCTTTCTTTTCGGAAATATTCTCGCCTTGTCTCTTAATCTGTTCTAAATTATCCTCTTCTCGTTTGTTAATCTGAAAACAGAAAATTTCGAAAACTGTTTCATAAAACATTGACATGAACTTTTAAATGCTTAAAAAATTTCAAGTTACAAGTATATGCTTGCGAATGTGTAATCTATACAAATTGATATTAGTCATATAGATTAAGGAGAGCAACTGAAAATGCACTCTTTGACAAAATCGAAAGAAATATCCAAAAATTTATTACCCTAGTAAATATCCAACCCCGTTAGCCACTATTGTTAGAAATGTCTCCACCAGACGTAGGAACAAATATTTAGTTGAAACAGTTAAGATATTTTAGATCGACAAATGGATTATTGATCAAAACATCTGAACTATTCCTCACTTCCGCAAAAGCTTAATAGTTAAGCATTGGAAAGAAGCTGGACAATATGAAAATTTCCACTTAAATTAGTAAAAAGTGTTAACTATTATGTGACACTAACAAAACAATAAGACACATCCAAACTTTATGGATCTCAAAATAGGTGTCGTTGTCAATCAGTTAATTAAGAATGAACAGAACAAATCAGGGAATGCATCAGCTAATATCCAGACTGTTTTGATATTAAAATTAACAGAAATAAAATCCAAATATAAATTCCAACACATTTTGCAAACTTGGTCAAATTATCTTAATTCAAAATTCTGTTAATGGGAGAAGTCTAAGACACATGTAGTAAAGACCACGATTTTAGAATGTATTAGTTTCGAAGAAAAGCAATACGAGTAGAATAAGTGGTGTGGACTCGGTCATTCATGCTTTAGTGCAAATTCTTCGAAGTAACAAAGAAGCATCAGTTATTAACTAAAACAGAGGTGAAAGCAGCTGACCTTTGACTGTTTCTTGGTCTAACTTTCTGCTTTTAGTCTCAGCTCCAGCATGTGCCCTATCCACTACGTTAACTTCCAAATCGTTCCAAAGCAATCCCTTTTTACTCGTCAGAACATTTTAGTATCTCCTCCAACACCTTGTACAGAGACAACCGATAAATTTTCCTTGCTAAATCAAATCCTCTGGTGGGCTCAACAACATGCTTCTTAAGGTTTGATTCGCCATCGTGCAAGATATTATCCGTACAGTCTCTGCAGCACACTCTGCATCAATTGAATTTGCAAATTTGGAACAGCAGACTTAATGGGCACATTTTGATCATCGTAATCTCTACCTACGCGTTCATCTTCTTTCAAAAGTAATTAGTTGATATGCACGGGCTCACCAAATTCTTTTGTAATGTTTTTGTGGTTTCCCTGGAAATGAACTTATTGGATATATTTTCATCAGGTTTTCGTAAGAACTCATCCGATCGATATTATTCTCATGCGAATTTTCACCGGTAAAATGTTCTCGTCCCAAGTTAGCCCTGCCTTTTTGACCATTCTGTTGACTTTGTAAGTCTGATGTTTCTTCTTCCTTGATCCGCTTCTGTCCGAATTCATGTTGGTCAAAATAATAATATTATTGCCATATTTTTGTCCTTCTTTCAGTATTTTAACAAAGCTTCACTAAGCTGAACTTCGGGATGTTTTCATTGCTCAGGAGCTTCAGAGCCCAATTCATTATTATCTTATATCTCAGGGAAGTCTATCTTTGATTTCTTATCAACATCAAAGCCAGATGCAGAGACCATATTTTGGATAACGATCAGTTAAAGTTACCGTGCCCCTTTCCATAAACGATATGTCAAAAAGTGTGAACCGAAATGAAAGATGGAGAGATTAATAATCTCCGTGCAAAAAAGTGATGCTCTGAGGAAAGCTACAAAACATAAGCAAACAACGGAAATAATGCTATGAAACTCTATAAGGGAAGATTGTTTTGCATTGATGTAATATACGGTAAATTCTGCATCCAGAAATGGATGGATGAAACACATTTCATCACATGACGATACATCACGAAAGATCAACAGAAATTTGCAGAACTGACCATGGTATTATTTTTCATCAAAAAATATTAAAACTTCAAGATAACCAAGGAAAAGGATGAAACTTTCCAGCTTTCTGTACTGTTTCTTCAAAAAAAAATTTCTGTACTGTTTCTTAAAAGAAACATAGCTAATAATGCGAGCCCTTAATTTGCTGAGTGGCTGAAAGCATGCGAACATTCATCGACAAAACACATTTCTTTTAAGCTCAAGGTAACGATTTGTTTCCTCACTGCATCCCCAAAACCGAAAAATTACCTGATCCTTGGACTCCAAGAAAGACGTAGCTTGAGTGACATCATTTCCATTCCGAACCTAAATTTAGCAACATTAAAAAAGACTGAAGGCTAAAAGATGAGCATTGTTTTCAGTGAAACAGGCAAAGAGACCTGATATGTGGGGTGAAATACCCTGTAAATAGCAACCTTGCCCGTGAATTCTTCAGGTTTCGATTGTTGTTCATCACGATTTCTCCCTTTTTTCTGTCTTCGTTTGAATATCTCCGTAAAACCAGCTTTTGCTTCTTCGTAGTCTATCTCATAAGTGTTGCCCTAAAACCTTCTATTTCAGTCCGAAAATTTCTGTAACAGTAACCGAATCCGACTATAGCCGTAGAGAAAAAAAAAGTTACTTATTAAAATGGAAAAAAGTTATATTTATGCGTTCCTTTGTTAACGTAAGGCTAGTTTAGAAACGAATACATGAATGGAACAAATCTCAAAAGCCGCGACAAACAGGAAGTAGGAATAGATGGGTAAATTGAAATTTAAACGTTTGA